CGAGACCAAGCCTTAGGAAGGAGAGAAGATGGGCGGGGGGGGGGATAAAGGAACGTGAGAAAGGCCAAGAAAAACAGGAATCATCGAGTAAACAACACAGCAAATGTTAACCATTGAATAAGAAGAAAAGGAAAGCAGATAGGTGGGGCCCCAGGAGTAAAGATATTTTAAAGAAGAAAATAACGAAGAACCCCCAGGGCCACTAAGAGCAGGGCGTGGGCGCTCACGCGGCCAGCGGCCCTCTCACCCCCGGAGGGGCGGCGGCACGCCCGTGACCCCGTCCCTGGACGCGAGGCTGCCTCACAGGCACTAGTCCCAACCAGCTGGAGGCCCAGGAGCCCCGCAGTCTGCGGAACACTGACGCCGGGAGCCCGTCGCCGAGGCAACGACGCCGCCCCGCCCACGCGCCCACGCGACACACCTTTGATTGGCTGGTTCCCGGTGGCTCCGCCCATCCTGCTCCCCAGGGCTCCGCCCCGTCGCCTTACCCGCGCGCTCCCGTCCGCGCCCCCGAGGGACAGGCCTGCCGATGGGGGGAGGATCACCCTGGTGCCGCCTGCCCCTGGCCGGTGTGCCCGCATTTCCCGTCCGGCTGCCCCATCCCAACTTCCGGTTTCCCGGCTCTCTGGCGGCGCCCGCCTCTGGGCACCGTGCGAGGGGACAGCCGGCGCGGGTGAGGACCGCAGGGTGGACACACACTGCGGGGCGGGACACATACGGCGTCCCCTGTGGGGAAACTGAGGCTGTCTGCGCGCAGGCCCTTGCTGCTGACCCGCTCCCTCTGTGTGACACATAGCTCATTAAATATAAAAACACAAAGAAAACATGCAGCGCATTAGCACCAAACAACCATTCATCAAAGGAGGGGAAGCAGATTTCATTCGGTAACTGCTGACAGCAGGGAAAGAGCTGAGCTCCCTCCGACTTGTGCAGAGGTGACCGGGGTTTCCAAGGGAGACCGAGGGAGGGGGAGAACAGGGCTCACTAGAGTCAGAGAAGTGAACGATCACAAAGAGCAGGCCAGCGTGGGTGTGACTAGGCCAGGCGTGTCCGCTGGCAGGTATGGAAGTCAGGAGTCTGGTACTTACAGCCCTTCGTCCTATGGCAGTCTCCCTCCCTCACTTCCCAGCCCTCAGACTCCCTCCTCTGCGTGCCACGTGGTCCCTGCTCAGAATCTTTTACATTCTTTTTACTTCACTTTGTACGAATAAAATGTAGAGCTTCCATTTGTTTTTACTTTATCTCATCCTTTTAAAAATTCAATTTTTGTGAATGCTTTGTTTTATTTATTTAAATTTCAAATCCAACTTAGTGAACATAGAGTGTAATAACGATTTCAGGAACAGACTTTAGTGATTCATCACTTACATGTAACACCCAGTTCTTATCCCAACACGTGTCCTCCTAATGCCCCTCACCCATCCAGCCCATCCCCCCACCCAACACCCCGCCAGCAACCCTCAGTTTGCTCTCTGTATTTAAGAGCCTCTTATGCTTTATGTCCCTCTGTTTTTATCTTATTTTTGCTTCCCTTCCCTTATGTTCTTCTGTTTTGTATCTTAAATTCCACCTATGAGTGAAATCACGTATTTGTCTTTCTCTGACTCATTCCGCTTAGCATAAGACACTCTAGCTCCATCCATATTGTTGCAAATGGCAAGATTTCATTCTTTTTGATTGCCGAGTAATATTCCTTTGGATATGTACACCACATCTTCTTTATCCATTCATCAGTCCATGGACATTTGAGCTCTTTCCATACTTTGGCTATTGTCGATAGTGCTGCTGTAAACATTGGGGTCCATGTACTCCTTCGAATAAGCACTCCTGTATCCTTTGGATAAATACCTAGTAGTACAATTGCTGGGTCATAGGGTAGTTCTATTTTTCATTTTTTGAGGAGCCTCCATACTGTTTTTCAGAGTGGCTGCACCAGTTTGCGTTCCCACCAGCAGTGCAAAACGGGTCCTCTTTCTCCACATCCTTGCCAACGTCTGTTGTTGCCTAAGTTATTCATTTTAGCCATCTGACAGGTGTGACGTCGAATCTCATTATGGTTTTGATTTGTATTTCCCAGATGATGAGCGATGTTGAGCATTTTTTCGTGTCTCTTGGCCATCTGGATGTCTTCTTTGCAAAAGTGTCTATTCATGTCTTTTGCCCATTTCTTCACTGGGTTATTTGTTTTTTTGGGTATTGACTTGGATAATTTCTTTACAGATTTTGGATACTAACCCTTTATCGGATATGTCGTTTGCAAATCTCATCTCCCATTCTGTCGGTTGCCATTGAGTTTTGCTGATTGTTTCCTTCACTGTGCAGAAGTCTTTTTATCTTGATGAGGTCCCAATGGTTCACTTTTGCTTTTGTTTCCCTTGCCTCCGGAGACGTGTTGAGTAAGAAGTTGCTGCAGCCGAGGTCAAAGAGATTGTTGCCTGTTTTCTCCTCTAAGATTTTGATGGCTTCCTGTCTTATGTTTAGGTCTTTCATCCATTTTGAGTTTATTTTTGTGTATGGTGTAAGGAAGTGGTCCAGGTTCATTCTTCTGCATGTTGCTGTCCAGTTATCCCAACACCATTTGCTGAAGAGACTTTCTTTATTCCATTGGATATTCTGTCTGCTCTGTCAAAGATTAGTTGGCTATACATTTGTGGGTCCATTTCTGGGTTCTCTATTCTGTTCCATTGATCTGTGTGTCTGTGTTTGTGCCACTACCGTACTGTCTTGATGATTACAGTTTTGTCATACAGTTTGAAGTCCGGAATTGTGATGCCTCCAGCTTTGGTTTTCCTTTTCAGGATTGCTTTGGCTATTTGGGGTCTTTTCTGGTTCCATAAAATTTGAGGATTATTTGTTCTAGCTCTGTGAAGCATGCTGGTGTTATTTTGATAGGGATTGCTTGTGAATGCTTTATAATGTAGGGGGGAAAATCAGCTAATGATAAGAATCAGGGCCCTTGCAAAAATGGCTGGTCCTAGCACCAGAGCAAGAAATACACAAGATGAATCTATAGATGGTGGGAGGGGAAACCGGACAGGCTCTCTAGAAGTGGCAGAATATTCTAAAGCTGAAATCTACATATGCTGTGACAGAGCGATTCACTCCTGGGTAGAACCCAGCAGTAACTCACATTTATGGTCACCAGAGACATGTAACTCCAAACCAAAACCCACCAACTGTCTAGCCACAGTAGGATGAACAAATAATGCACCAGGAAATACCGTTCAGGGAAAAAGCAAAAACATGGATTGAGTCTCCCACTGTGGAGTAAGGCCAGATGAAGAATTCCTTGGGGCACCTGGCTGGCTCAGTTGGTAGAGACAATGTTGTAGGGTCAATGCGACTCTTGATCTGCAGGTTGTGAGTTTGAGCCACATGTTGGGTGTAGAAATTGCTGAAAAATAAAATCTTAAAAGAAAAAAACTTCTTATTGTGTGACTTCATTTACATGAAGTTCAAAACCAGACCAGACAAACCTGCTGTGGTGGGAAGTCAAGATGATGATTATGGGGGAGGGAAGTGGCCAGGAGGGCTGCAATGCGAGGGCTGTTTTCACCTGATGCAAACTCATGACACTCTACATTTTTGGTTTGGGTACATTTCTGTATGTTACACCTAACATTTTTCTTTAAAATAAAAAAAAAACAAAAACAAAAAACGGGAAAATGGG